CAGCAGTTCTCTGTTCGCAAAGGTGCCGAAGCTGTTGCGGGTTTTGGTGCCGCTGTCTCGGCTCTGATCCCGTAGAACGCTCAGCTGCACTTATGAAAAGTACGCGGCTCGAAATGGCTGTTATTTCAAAGAACGTGGACTATTTTAAACTACGCGGTTAACCGGTTTCAACCGGTTAATGAGGCTCGGTGGTCGGTCATGAAAATTCATAGTTTTTTACATCCCTAGTCTGCATTCAACTGTTGTGTTTATGTGTGACTTTGCTGCCTCTTGGCCAGGACTCCCTTGAAAAAGAGATTCTTAATCTCAATGGGATTTTTCCTGGTTAAATAAAGGTTAAATAAAAAAATAAAATAAGAATTTCTGCTTAATAAATGTTTTCAGTCATGCCACACCTTCTCATCAGCTAAAACTTATACAAACATGACAATCTGCAGCTTTTATCAACTCAAGTGGATTATATGGAATTCAAACGAGAACAAAAAAGTCTTTCTAATCTACTCACATTATTTTCAAACAGGTGACGTTGGACCATTTCCAAAGGCACACCATACAACAGCTCACGGCACAACAACGGTCCGTGGCCCACTGGTTGAAAAACACTTCTAAAAGACAGGAAGTCCAAACTGCTGCAACAATTCTCATAAAAAACATAAAAAATCAAGCTGTTCGTATTTTAGAGCCATCTGCTGATTATGGGCTCTGACAAAACTGAGGAGAGAGGTCCAATCACACGCACCGAACAAAACACCAGCATTTACCCAGAAGCCCCGTGGGCAGCTGGTCTGGACCGGACCTGATTATGTCTGTTATAATGTCTGTATGATGGATCCATGTGTCTGTATCACATGTTATAATGTCTGTGTGATGGATCCATGTGTCTGTATCACATGTTATAATGTCCTGTATGATGGATCCATGTGTCTGTATCACATGTTATAATGTCTGTATGATGGATCCATGTCTGTATCACATGTTATAATGTCTGTATGATGGATCCATGTGTCTGTATCACATGTTATGATGTCTGTATGATGGATCCATGTGTCTGTATCAGATGTTATGATGTCTGTATGATGGATCCATGTCTGTATCACATGTTATAATGTCTGTATGATGGATCCATGTGTCTGTATCACATGTTATGATGTCTGTATGATGGATCCATGTGTCTGTATCAGATGTTATGATGTCTGTATGATGGATCCATGTGTCTGTATCACATGCTATAATGTCTGTATGATGGATCCATGTGTCTGTATCACATGCTATAATGTCTGTGTGATGGATCCATGTGTCTGTATCACATGTTATAATGTCTGTGTGATGGATCCATGTGTCTGTATCACATGTTATAATGTCTGTATGATGGATCCATGTGTCTGTATCACATGTTATAATGTCTGTATGATGGATCCATGTGTCTGTATCACATGTTATAATGTCTGTATGATGGATCCATGTGTCTGTATCACATGTTATGATGTCTGTATGATGGATCCATGTGTCTGTATCACATGTTATAATGTCTGTATGATGGATCCATGTCTGTATCACATGTTATAATGTCTGTATGATGGATCCATGTCTGTATCACATGTTATAATGTCCTGTATGATGGATCCATGTGTCTGTATCACATGTTATAATGTCTGTATGATGGATCCATGTCTGTATCACATGTTATAATGTCCTGTATGATGGATCCATGTCTGTATCACATGTTATAATGTCCTGTATGATGGATCCATGTGTCTGTATCACATGTTATAATGTCTGTATGATGGATCCATGTGTCTGTATCACATGTTATAATGTCTGTGTGATGGATCCATGTGTCTGTATCACATGTTATAATGTCTGAATGATGGATCCATGTGTCTGTATCACATGTTATAATGTCTGTATGATGGATCCATGTCTGTATCACATGTTATAATGTCTGTATGATGGATCCATGTGTCTGTATCACATGTTATAATGTCTGTGTGATGGATCCATGTGTCTGTATCACATGTTATAATGTCTGTATGATGGATCCATGTGTCTGTATCACATGTTATAATGTCTGTATGATGGATCCATGTCTGTATCACATGTTATAATGTCTGTATGATGGATCCATGTCTGTATCACATGTTATAATGTCTGTATGATGGATCCATGTCTGTATCACATGTTATAATGTCTGTGTGATGGATCCATGTGTCTGTATCACATGTTATGATGTCTGTATGATGGATCCATGTGTCTGTATCAGATGTTATGATGTCTGTATGATGGATCCATGTGTCTGTATCACATGTTATGATGTCTGTATGATGGATCCATGTGTCTGTATCAGATGTTATGATGTCTGTATGATGGATCCATGTCTGTATCACATGTTATAATGTCTGTATGATGGATCCATGTGTCTGTATCACATGTTATGATGTCTGTATGATGGATCCATGTGTCTGTATCAGATGTTATGATGTCTGTATGATGGATCCATGTCTGTATCACATGTTATAATGTCTGTATGATGGATCCATGTGTCTGTATCACATGTTATGATGTCTGTATGATGGATCCATGTGTCTGTATCAGATGTTATGATGTCTGTATGATGGATCCATGTCTGTATCACATGCTATAATGTCTGTATGATGGATCCATGTCTGTATCACATGTTATGATGTCTGTATGATGGATCCATGTGTCTGTATCACATGCTATAATGTCTGTATGATGGATCCATGTGTCTGTATCACATGCTATAATGTCTGTGTGATGGATCCATGTGTCTGTATCACATGTTATAATGTCTGTGTGATGGATCCATGTGTCTGTATCACATGTTATAATGTCTGTATGATGGATCCATGTGTCTGTATCACATGTTATAATGTCTGTATGATGGATCCATGTGTCTGTATCACATGTTATAATGTCTGTATGATGGATCCATGTGTCTGTATCACATGTTATAATGTCTGTATGATGGATCCATGTGTCTGTATCACATGCTATAATGTCTGTATGATGGATCCATGTGTCTGTATCACATGTTATAATGTCTGTGTGATGGATCCATGTGTCTGTATCACATGTTATAATGTCTGTATGATGGATCCATGTGTCTGTATCACATGTTATGATGTCTGTATGATGGATCCATGTGTCTGTATCACATGCTATAATGTCTGTATGATGGATCCATGTGTCTGTATCACATGTTATAATGTCTGTGTGATGGATCCATGTGTCTGTATCACATGTTATAATGTCTGTATGATGGATCCATGTGTCTGTATCACATGTTATAATGTCTGTATGATGGATCCATGTCTGTATCACATGTTATAATGTCTGTATGATGGATCCATGTCTGTATCACATGTTATAATGTCTGTATGATGGATCCATGTCTGTATCACATGTTATAATGTCTGTGTGATGGATCCATGTGTCTGTATCACATGTTATGATGTCTGTATGATGGATCCATGTGTCTGTATCAGATGTTATGATGTCTGTATGATGGATCCATGTGTCTGTATCACATGTTATAATGTCTGTGTGATGGATCCATGTGTCTGTATCACATGTTATAATGTCTGTATGATGGATCCATGTGTCTGTATCACATGTTATAATGTCTGTATGATGGATCCATGTGTCTGTATCACATGTTATAATGTCTGTATGATGGATCCATGTGTCTGTATCACATGTTATAATGTCTGTATGATGGATCCATGTGTCTGTATCACATGCTATAATGTCTGTATGATGGATCCATGTGTCTGTATCACATGTTATAATGTCTGTGTGATGGATCCATGTGTCTGTATCACATGTTATAATGTCTGTATGATGGATCCATGTGTCTGTATCACATGTTATGATGTCTGTATGATGGATCCATGTGTCTGTATCACATGCTATAATGTCTGTATGATGGATCCATGTGTCTGTACCACATGTTATAATGTCTGTATGATGGATCCATGTGTCTGTATCACATGTTATAATGTCTGTGTGATGGATCCATGTGTCTGTATCACATGTTATAATGTCTGTATGATGGATCCATGTGTCTGTATCACATGTTATAATGTCTGTATGATGGATCCATGTCTGTATCACATGTTATAATGTCTGTGTGATGGATCCATGTGTCTGTATCACATGTTATGATGTCTGTGTGATGGATCCATGTGTCTGTATCACATGTTATAATGTCTGTATGATGGATCCATGTGTCTGTATCACATGTTATAATGTCTGTATGATGGATCCATGTGTCTGTATCACATGTTATAATGTCTGTATGATGGATCCATGTGTCTGTATCACATGTTATAATGTCTGTATGATGGATCCATGTGTCTGTATCACATGCTATAATGTCTGTATGATGGATCCATGTGTCTGTATCACATGTTATAATGTCTGTGTGATGGATCCATGTGTCTGTATCACATGTTATAATGTCTGTATGATGGATCCATGTGTCTGTATCACATGTTATGATGTCTGTATGATGGATCCATGTGTCTGTATCACATGCTATAATGTCTGTATGATGGATCCATGTCTGTATCACATGTTATAATGTCTGTGTGATGGATCCATGTGTCTGTACCACATGTTATAATGTCTGTATGATGGATCCATGTGTCTGTATCACATGTTATAATGTCTGTATGATGGATCCATGTGTCTGTATCACATGTTATAATGTCTGTGTGATGGATCCATGTGTCTGTATCACATGTTACACTTATATAACATGTGATCCTGTATGTTCCGACAGTATAACATGTGTCATACTGCCACAGAGCCAGAGACGTCTGCAGTGAGCCGGAGAAAGCATGACATAAAGAATTTAAAACAGGTGATGACAAACCGCGGCTGTTTAGTTTGAAGCAGACAGCACAGAGAGAGCACGTATAGATTCTTTAAGGTTCTTAAAGGTTTTGCCAAATTAAACTGACAAGCAGCACAGGGAGATGAGTAAAGTAAGGCTAATATGTCAAAAAATATGTTTTATTTCCTCCTTTGGGTGATTTTAAAGTCACTGGAAGTTCGCAAAATGTACCTTTATTTGAGGGCTTTTCAATTGCCTTGGAATAAGCAAAATTATGAAAAAATGTCTCCCCTGGAATGAGAAAAAAACAGCAGAGCTTGAAATAAGACTAATGGCTTTGTCCTATTGAAATCTGTTTTAACACAGTCAGAATAAACTCAGATTAAGATAAAACCACTTCATTTCATAATTTATTACCTCATACTTGATCACTTTTTGCCGTATGAACACAAATACACTGGCACAATTACAAACTACACCCAGAAAAGCATAAAACCTGCTCAGACCCCGCACTCTCTGCTTTCTCTGTGCGAGTGCGTTTGTCATTCACTATAATGCTCTGTGTCACTTGTGAGCTTGATGCTTCCAAGTAAAAAGAAAGAATAAAAAAGAGAAAACGGCAAAACAACGCTGTAAAAACCCACTCTGCACTTGGCCCTGAACGTCCACCGCCTTCAGGTTTTCAGGTTTACAAGCTGATATTCAAAGTGAGAGCCACAAACATGTATTTATCAGAGAAGCTTTCACTGCGGACACAGCTGCGAACAAGACCAGTCCATCAGAACACAAACCCACATCGTGACGCACACCGGGCCCAGGGCAGGAATTAGGAATCATCTCTGACTAAAAGGTGAAGGGAACTGAACTGCCTCCAACTTCAAGACACTTTTGTTAAGTCTACATCCTTCCTCTTCCTCTACAGATGCAGAACCTACATTATAAGCCTCACTAACTTCGATAATGTAATGAAATCCATCTCACACAGTTTTCATAATGGTTTAGGAATGTTCATCTTGCCTTGAGTATTTTAATCAAATCTTTATCATATTTAAAAGTGCTCCACAACTACAGTGCTGTACAGAGAAATACAGAAACATATATATACATCAAAACCAAAAACTTGCCTCTACCTGGTTTTAAAATCCAAAGAGAAAAAGTGATTATTACTATATCTGTATATATTACTCCTGTGTGGTCCAGAAGAACCAAATACATTCATTTGGAAACTCAAAGTATTTTTTTCATGTTTTTTGTCTCATTTCTGGATCAGATTTTTCAGAGCGGAAAGTGAAAAAGACAGAACCGCCCTCGCTCTGTGGCTCTGGGCCCTCTCTCTGTGGCTCTGGGCCCTCTCTCTGTGGCTCTGGGCCCTCTCTCTGTGGCTCTGGGCCCTCGCTCTGTGGCTCTGGGCCCTCGCTCTGTGGCTCTGGGCCCTCTCTCTGTGGCTCTGGGCCCTCTCTCTGTGGCTCTGGGCCCTCTCTCTGTGGCTCTGGGCCCTCTCTCTGTGGCTCTGGGCCCTCTCTCTGTGGCTCTCGGCCCTCTCTCTGTGGCTCTGGGCCCTCGCTCTGTGGCTCTGGGCCCTCTCTCTGTGGCTCTGGGCCCTCTCTCTGTGGCTCTCGGCCCTCTCTCTGTGGCTCTGGGCCCTCTCTCTGTGGCTCTGGGCCCTCTCTCTGTGGCTCTGGGCCCTCTCTCTGTGGCTCTCGGCCCTCTCTCTGTGGCTCTGGGCCCTCTCTCTGTGGCTCTGGGCCCTCGCTCTGTGGCTCTGGGCCCTCTCTCTGTGGCTCTGGGCCCTCTCTCTGTGGCTCTGGGCCCTCGCTCTGTGGCTCTGGGCCCTCTCTCTGTGGCTCTGGGCCCTCTCTCTGTGGCTCTGGGCCCTCTCTCTGTGGCTCTGGGCCCTCTCTCTGTGGCTCTGGGCCCTCGCTCTGTGGCTCTGGGCCCTCGCTCTGTGGCTCTCGGCCCTCTCTCTGTGGCTCTGGGCCCTCTCTCTGTGGCTCTGGGCCCTCTCTCTGTGGCTCTGGGCCCTCTCTCTGTGGCTCTGGGCCCTCTCTCTGTGGCTCTCGGCCCAAAGCAGCGACAGTGACTCACAAGGTTCTTTCTGATGAGTCTGCAAAGGTGAAAGTTCTGCTGCTGCCTGCGGTCATTGTGTCCTTGGGCAAGACACTTTTCCACACTTTGCCCATAAGGAGCGTGGAAACAGCTGCATGCCTTGATGTGATCCGTGTGTTTGACTATTCACCGAAGCAAATGTCTCCATTGTGGGATCAGTAAAGTATCATTACTTCATGTTCTTCTTTCTAATGAGATGAAGACTGTTGCAATTTGATTTTAACTTTTAAATGTTAACTATTATTTTGGATAAAAGAGAGTTGGATACCCCAGCTGTAATCTTTATGTATTATTTAGTTACAATACAACATAAGAGGAAATATATCTGTGACAGTCCAAAACGAAACTATATCATTATATTATATTATCAGAAACATTTAAACACGTTTTCTCTGCATCTTTAAACACAAAAACAGAAGCTCATAAGAAAGTTCTGTTCTTTGAAAATCTTTAAAACAACGCAGTAATTGGAAGTTAAAAATGGTGCTGAAAAGGGTCTTTTTGAGTTGTCATTTACACTTATTATTATTTATTTATTTAATATGGACATAACAAAAACATTGAATGAACCAGATGCATTGTCGTAAGAGTTATAGCACAGATGCTAATTAGCAACACTAGTCCACAGAGGTTTCTACGTTACAGAAGATAAAATACATTAAAAAAAGAAAAATACTCAGACTTTTCCAGAGCAAGAACTGATACTCTCCATATTAAACTGTAGATGCAGTAGAACCTTATGCAACTATGATCACGGTCTGACCGACAGTCTCTAAGTTAAAGTTTTAAAATGTTGTGTGCTTTCTCCTGCAGACCCTGGACAAGAAAGTGCTTATTATTACCGCAAAAAATTTACATCTTTTATAAGGGAGAGGCAGAGTGAAAACTTGCTAAACACATTTAGGCTTCTGCCCTGAAGCACAACATCCACTCCCTTTTCTCCATGAGCGCAGCAGAAATCTGAACCATCTCAAAAGTTTCAACTATGAGCTTTAGTCGTTTCAAAGTCTTAAATCTGCAGATTGACAGACAAACATTCCTGTCATGGCCTCTGCACCAGAGGCATCCGTCACCGCGCCCAAGCACCCGCTCATTTGCATATAGCTTCATATCAAGATAGAAAAGGAAATACGGTGGCATCCAACTTTGCAGAAGGGAATTTGTATATTAAGTCTTTAACAGGTTACGTTCATGTGACATCACAACGTGCTAAAGAATCCATACAGTAGTTTAAAATGGTGGAGGAGGGCAGCTGAAGATACTACTGCTACTACTGCTACTACTGCTACTACTGATACTGCTACTACTGCTACTACTGCTACTACTGCTACTACTGATACTGCTACTACTGCTACTACTGCTACTACTGCTACTACTGCTACTACTGCTACTACTGCTACTACTGCTACTACTGCTACTACTACTACTGCTACTACTGCTACTACTGCTACTACTGATACTGCTACTACTGCTACTACTGCTACTACTGCTACTACTGCTACTACTGCTACTACTGCTACTACTGCTACTACTGCTGCTACTGCTACTACTGCTACTACTGCTACTACTGCTACTACTGCTACTACTACTACTGCTACTACTGATACTACTACTACTGCTACTACTGCTGCTGCTGTTTATGTTCAATGCAATAATGTCATATAGATGTATATATTATGTCTGCTTTTTATATTTGTCTTTTTAATGTACTGTGATTATTCATGATGTTAATGCTTTCTTGTCTTGTTCAGACCTTTGCCTTGAGTATGAACTGTGCTATACAAATAAACTTGCCTTTTGTAAAATGTGACCGTGGAAACTCTCTTTGATAAAGTCCACGTTAAGCATGAATAAACAAAGCAAATGACAACTGCAAGAACAAGGTTTATCTTCTTTTTTTCACAAAACAAAATATACTTAAATCCTGCAGTAATTTGTTTCTTCATGCTTTTCATGGACTTTATCAAATAATAATTCAGTGCATTTTGTTTTTATAAAGACATTTTCCACAGTTCAGTCAAAGATGGCCTGTTTCCATAAATGTGTGACATAAGTCCAAGGCTTTGTAATAGTCTGAATACTTCTAAACCTGTGTACTGTCCATGTCCTACAGACAGACTGTACTGTCCATGTCCTACAGACAGACTGTGTCCTGTTCTGTCCATGTCCTACAGACAGACTGTGTCCTGTCCATGTCCTACAGACAGACTGTGTACTGTCCATGTCCTACAGACAGACTGTGTCCTGTTCTGTCCATGTCCTACAGACAGACTGTGTCCTGTTCTGTCCATGTCCTACAGACAGACTGTGTCCTGTACTGTCCATGTCCTACAGACAGACTGTGTACTGTCCATGTCCTACAGACAGACTGTGTACTGTCCATGTCCTACAGACAGACTGTCCTGTCCATGTCCTACAGACAGACTGTCCTGTCCATGTCCTACAGACAGACTGTCCTGTCCATGTCCTACAGACAGACTGTCCTGTCCATGTCCTACAGACAGACTGTGTCCTGTACTGTCCATGTCCTACAGACAGACTGTGTACTGTCCATGTCCTACAGACAGACTTGTACTGTCCATGTCCTACAGACAGACTGTCCTGTCCATGTCCTACAGACAGACTGTCCTGTCCATGTCCTACAGACAGACTGTCCTGTCCATGTCCTACAGACAGACTGTGTACTGTCCATCTCCTGCAGACAGCTCAGGCTGTAACATCATTCAGTTAAAGAACAGAGAAACAGACAGGATCTGTGGCTGCTGCATCAGTGACTGAGGAGAACACAAATACTGCAGATGTTCTTATTCTTTCATATCAGAATTACAGCAGATGTGTTTTCTCTGGCACAGGCCTCTGACAATCATGTGCTGTAGTAGTATGTAGTAAAAGTCAGTCCAACCATTCCAACTATGTAGGGTTTGTCTGGTGATAGATGTTCCCTGTCAGAAGCCGACACCCAGGCCTGGGCTCAGGACTCTCAAACAAGTGAGTCCTGTTGACCGGGGCCACTATCTCTCTATCGGCTGATGAAGGGCGGAGGGAGGCCCGGGGCTGAAACACCCCCAACCTGTTCTGCAGGTAGCTCCGGGTCCCACAGCCCACAAGCCACAGCCCACAGAGGAGGGCTCCACCTCCAGCTCCACTGCATAAAAGCAGAGAGAGCAAACAGGCAGATACTCAGAGTTTTCTGGTCTCCGGTAAAAGAGTCTCCTCCTCAGCTCTCAGCTCACAGCCGCTAAAAACATGTCCAGGAGAGCCATGTCCGTGTCCAGCTACAGCACCAGGAGGTCGGGGGCCCAAGCCACCTCCAGCTACAGCATGGTCAAGAAGAGCGGCTTCAGCTCCGGATCAGTCTACGGCGGTGGATCGGCCTACGGCGGAGGATTCAGCTCCTCTGGCATGGGCGGAGGCAGCATGTTCTCCTCCAGCATGGGTGGTGGCTCTGCCAACTTCATGGCTGCTCCCATCACCGCAGTCACCGTGAACCAGAGCCTGCTGGCCCCAATGCATCTGGACATCGACCCCACCATCCAGGCCGTCCGCACCGATGAGAAGAACCAGATCAAGACCCTGAACAACCGTTTTGCTTCTTTCATTGACAAGGTGCGCTTCCTGGAGCAGCAGAATAAGATGCTGGAGACCAAATGGAGCCTGCTGCAGGACCAGACCACCTCCCGCTCCAACCTGGACGCCATGTTTGAGGCCTACATCTCCAACCTCCGCAGACAACTGGACGGTCTGGGCAACGAGAAAGTCAAGCTGGAGGGAGAGCTGAGGAACATGCAGGGCTTGGTGGAGGACTTCAAGAGGAAGTATGAAGATGAAATCAACAAGCGCGCCGCTGCAGAGAACGAGTTTGTGCTTCTGAAGAAAGATGTCGACGCCGCGTACATGAACAAGGTGGAGCTGGAGGCCAAGGTGGACGCTCTGCAGGACGAGATCAACTTCCTGCGCGCCGTGTACGAGGCTGAGCTCCGCGAGCTGCAGGGCCAGATCAAAGACACCTCTGTGGTCGTGGAGATGGACAACAGCCGCAACCTGGACATGGACTCCATCGTGGCCGAAGTGCGCGCTCAATACGAAGACATCGCCAACAAGAGCAAGGCCGACGCCGAGAGCTGGTACAAGCAGAAGTTTGAGGAGATGCAGAGCTCCGCCGGTCAGTACGGAGACGACCTGCGCACCACCAAGTCTGAGATCGCAGAGCTGAACCGTATGATCGCTCGCCTGCAGAACGAGATCGAGACCGTGAAGGGGCAGAGGGCCAGTCTGGATGCACAGATCACCGAGGCCGAGGAGCGCGGCGAGATGGCCGTACGGGACGCCCGGCTGCGCATCAGGGAGCTGGAGGACGCTCTGCAGAGAGCCAAGCAGGACCTGGCCCGACAGGTGCGCGAGTACCAGGAGCTCATGAACGTCAAACTGGCTCTGGACATCGAGATCGCCACCTACAGGAAGCTGCTGGAGGGAGAGGAGAGCAGGCTGGCCAGCGGAGGGGTCAACGCCACCATCCACGTGCAGGAGTCCAGCCGTGGCGTGAGCTCTGCCGGAGGCTACAGCTCCGGCTCCGGCTTCGGGTACGGAGGCTCCAACCTGGGGGGCTCCGTCAGCCGGTCCTCCGTCAGCACCACCAGCTCCATGCGGCGCTACTGAGGCCCCCAAGAGTCAGACCCAGAGACATTCAGCACAGTCTCAGTTTGTGAATGTGTCTCTTCTCCGTCTAAGACTCTTGTGAAATGTTTTGAGACCAGGTTTATTTCACTTGTCATAAAAATAAATCTGAGATTAAATAAACTTGAAGCCTGAACTGAGCTGTAGTTTGGTTTATGTGTATTTTCAAACTAAGATAAAGAGAACACAGAAACACTGTAAAACTCACACAAACATAACATTTACAGAAATACATTAAACTATAACATTTATATAGTTATTAAAGAGGTGTTAATGAATACATAATTGATATTTAAGGGATGTAACACAACACACTTCTATTATTAAATAATTATTAAAATTATTCTGATGTAGAAATCTATGTCACTAAAACAAATCATTTTACACTGAAAAAAAGTAAAAAAAACAGGTCAGATTTATTTAATAAAATAACATAAATGATTGAATGTAGTTTGTCATAAGTTTATTTTACTATAGTTTTAAGATAATAATACTTTATAATATATGTATATATATATATATATATATATATATATATATATATATATAGTATTATTATCCACTATATATAGTATATATACTATAATATCACACAATAAAGTCTGAGTTTTTAAACTTGTTTTAAGTTTTTTCTCATTTCTTGTTTAGATAAAATAAGTTTGTGACGCTGTATTTTAATAAAACATCAAAAAAATTTCAGAAATAAGTACATAATACTTAATGTTTGTTTTTAAACTAGAATCAAGTCGTTTGGGGCAGTTTTATTTTATTATTTTCAGAAATTAAGTTAGAAGTCATATTTTCTCTTCAGATATTTCATAAGCAGTATTTTAATTGTTTATTTTTATTATTTTGCTCTTTTTTTACAGTGAACACAAAGTAGTTTAAAAACAAACATTTCAAGTTGTATTTACTTATTTATTTTTATGTTTTCTTAAAACACAATATATTTTATCTAAGAAAAGTCTGGAAATAATAAAATACTTAAAACAAGCTCAGTGTGTGTCGTGAGTGTAGTGTGTGTGTGTCGTGAGTGTAGGGTGTGTGTGTCGTGAGTGTAGTGTGTGTGTGTCGTGAGTGTAGTGTGTGTGTGTGTCGTGAGTGTAGGGTGTGTGTGTCGTGAGTGTAGTGTGTGTGTGTCGTGAGTGTAGGGTGTGTGTGTCGTGAGTGTAGTGTGTGTGTGTCGTGAGTGTAGTGTGTGTGTGTCGTGAGTGTAGTGTGTGTCGTGAGTGTAGTGTGTGTGTGTAGTGAGTGTCGTGTAGTGTGTGTAGTGAGTGTAGTGTATGTGTAGTGTGTGTCGTGTGTGTGTATGTGTGTGTCGTGTGTGTGTGTGTGTATGTGTAGTGTGTGTAATGTATGTGTCGTGTGTGTGTAGTGTGTGTAGTGTGTGTCGTGTGTGTAGTGAGTGTAGTGTGTGTAGTATGTGCAGTGTGTGTTGTTGTGTGTGTAGTGTATAGTATGTGTAGTGTGTGTAGTGTGTGTAATGTATGTGTCGTGTGTGTGTATGTGTGTGTAATGTGTGTTTAGTGTGTGTCGTATATACAATGTGTGTTTAGTGTGTGTAGTGTGTGTCGTATGTGCAGTGTGTGTAGTGTGTGTTGTTGTGTGTGTAGTGTGTTGTGTGTTGTCGTGTGTGTGAATAAAACCTGTCTCCAGTCTATGAAAGTGCAGTGTTGTCAGTCTGCACTTTCACAGACTCATCGCAACACAACACTTCTACACAACTACACAACTGCACACACAACCAGAATACATCACATTATTTGCAGCATTTCCATCACAGTGAAATGGACGTCTTTATCTTTATCTTTATCTTAATCATATAAACCTTTCTCAGACCAGAGTCTTCACAGTTGTTTACAGCTGTTACAGTCTGTCACTCCACAGAGATGGGCGGGGCCAGAGCAGGAGGCACAGACCTATTGTACATGTTTTTAGTGGTAGGGGAAACCGGAGCACCCTGAGGAAACCTACACAGACACGGGGAGACAATGCAAACTCCACTCAGAAAGGCCCTGTTTGTAGCTCCACATGAAGTGTTTTATTTTTGTATCATTGCATTTCCTGTTTGATGAAGTCCACATCATCACAAACATTGAACACAGATACTAAATATAGTATTTTTTTGTATGAAAACTGAACTTGAAATGTATAGCATCATAACACCGGCTGCTTCACAAGTGAGAATTAAAAAACTAACCTTTTATTTTAGATTTTTGACACCATAAATAATAAATGTTGTTTGTCCAAACTAAAATGTGCACATACAGAGTACGAGACGTCCCTTTGTCATGTTTCTGTGAGATTTTCCTCTGGACAGGCGACAAAGATACAAGAACTAGTGACAGAGCAGTAACGAGAGTCCATTTCTTTCCATCCATATTTTGAGATTTAAAAGCTAGGTACCCGAGCTTTAAAGTGTCCTCTCCATTTAACTTATTGACTGCCGTGGACGCAGTTGGCTGAGACTGGTGATTTCAGTCAAACCTCTCTCTATTCGACTGAAGATTACAGCAGAACAAAACTAGCTAGATACCGACGTATTTTTGCAGATGAAAGCAGCCGGTCCAGTCTTTCAGAATCCGGCTTCATGTTTTTCATAGTCACAGCACACAATAATCTGTGGGTCTTGAAAGTCAGTGAAGTCATCAAAAACAGCAGCAGTCCATGAGTTAAAGTTCTTAGATATTTCTTGTGTATGAAGCGTCTTGTGGACCTAGCTTAGCCTTCCTCAGATTTTACCCATGAGCCTCAGAGACCTCTTTATAACAGTGTTTATTCTGTCGGCTCCAGAGAGACCGTTGTGTCGCGGCGTTTCTCACGGTCCGTGGAAGACCAACGGCTCCTCGCGTCCTCAGGCCATAGATAACCAGACCGGGCTACATACAACACATCTGCAGACACGCCACGAGACCACACAGACACACAACACGGGACAGTAACACACATGTGGTGGACAAACGTGAATTCAACAACAAGGTAATCCCTTTACACCACATTAGACAGATCTCACAGATTAAGATTAAGATTAAGAGAACATGTATTGGTCCCACGGCGGGGAAATGTCAGTGTTGCATCACCGGGTACAGAGCAGTAGGAATGAGGAGCCCACAGCACCAGGTAAATTAGCCCTAATCTAAAATAAAGTCAAATCTGTAACTTTAGCCATTAAAGAAGCTTAAAGGAGTAGGATGTGATTGTTATGTTTATATTTCAATCTTTTCTCAAAAATGCAACTACAGACATAATTATAATCAGCCATAATCAAAAGTAATGTGTTAAATATGTCCCTGTTTATTTATGACTGTAATTATTGTTAGTATTGTTTGTATCTTTAACTGCAGTCGTTAGTGATGTCTGTTTATTCTATCATGGGTTCTCTTCACTTCTGTAAATATGAATATATCTGAACTAGGTCTTTTCTATGTTTCTCTGTTTCTGTATATTTGTATGTCTGCAAAAAATATAATACAAAAATTAAAAATCCAAAATCAAGACAAAAGTACAAATCTCTGTGATACGTCGCTGTGTGTCACAAAAACAAAAGAAATGTCTAAATGTGTTTCAAAAGTCTAAAGCCTTAAAGCTGCAGGAACTATGACGACTTTGAGTATTTTGTTTTAATTTTCACTGATTTTCCTTGATTTACGGATTTAAACATGTTTTTAAGGCATGGCATTAGTCTGTATGTATTTAATCTCTCTCAAAAACACCATTTAAATTATTATCAATTATTGTCAAAACAACAATGATAAATCACAATTTATATCACCAAAAATCCATATTCTTCTGTAATTGGGCCGCCCTTCAGCCTGGACGAATAAATGAGAAATGGTGATTTGATAATTCACTGCGTACTTTAGTGTTGCTTGATCAAGTATGGACTAAATATATAGAAAAATAACTGGTAAATTGAGAATCAAACTTCAAACCCTAAAAAGACTGAACAAAGAATCTCCTTCTTCCACATTAGACAGATCTCATGCACAGTTTTTAGAAGTCGAGAAATTTAAAAAAAAACTTATTTAAACGTGTTACAAAAGCAGTGATTTTTCTGTTTATTTTTCAGGATTCTTTCAAAAAATGCAATTTAAAACAGAATTATCTTCAACTATTTTCCAAACCGAGGCAAAGGAGAGAATGAACGGCGTTTGAATGTATTTCCTCGTTTACATGACTGTGTTTCGGGCACATACAGACGACAAACAACAACTAGAATTCTCCACAACTTCTTAAAACAATGTGTTATTTTTCTCACCTCTATGACATCATCAGAAAATACTCAGATAAAACAGCCCCATCTTGATCACTTTTCAACACCAACACTCGGCAAACACAGGACACAGCACGGAAAGAAGCAGGTTTGTTCCACGCGGTTAAATAAAGTTATTTGAATTGAATTGAATCTAACTTTCAGAAATTGTTTTCCACTTCAAGGCTGTAATTTTCCTTTCCTCACTTTATTTACTTCTTATCCTGCCACAAATGTATTTAATTTACACTACACATATATCGATAGACAGATACATAGATAGATATATATGTACTTTCTGCTTTATGGAGCATTTACAGCTACTTAAAACCATTAAAGCCACTTGTATTGTATTGTGCAGCTCCCTGTGCTCTCACTGCTCTCCTGCATTGCTTTGCTTTTCATATCTCCTCTCATCAAACTGGATCCCATTGTCCACAAGACTTCCCCTTTAAGTTTCCCCAAATACATATGCAACACACTGCAGACATCAACGCCTCAAACACTGCACAAAAACAACTTCTTTGCCTGGCTTTCTCTGAGCTGCATCTCCATCCTCACAGCTCAGCCTCTCCACTCTCCTCCTTGGACCAACTCTGGATGCGCCTGGCTCTCCTCCGTTACCTCCACACGTCTCTTTGACACTTACCATCCTCTTTCTCGTCAAAAACCGGTCTCTTTGAAGAACTGTTGGCGCCCATCCTCTTCTTCCACTTGCCCCAGTGAAACA